AAAAAGGGTCATCTTACTAAAAGCAATCCCTATTAAAATCCCAATACAATTCTTCATAGACCTTGAAAGAATAATACTCAACTTCATATGGGAAAACAAACAACAAACAAACAAACAAAAATCCAGGAGACTATTGGGATGGAGAAAAATATCTCTCAATATAACAAAGGCTATACATGCAAACTTATTAAGATCATGAACAAGACAGGGGTATCCATTTTCCTACCCTTATTCAAGATAAAGTCATAGCTAGAGTAATAAGACAAAAGAAGGAAATAAACGTAAATATAAACAGGAAAGGAAGAATTTAAAGTTTCCCTATTTGCAGACATTATGATTTAGTACATAAGATATTCTACCGCAAAACCTTCTGGAACAGATAACTATGAACAAAGTGGTAGGCTACAAAGTGGCAGGATATAAAACCAGTCTTAAATGGAACATCTATACTGTTCCCTTCAAGGCTTAGTGAAAATGGGGAAGAGGAAGCAGAAAAAATGTGGGATAAGGAAGAGAGCTGTAAAACAGTCTTCTGGAAAGACAAGGACACGGCAGTTGCAATCATGAAACAGTAGCTGTGGCCCCCTGAAGAAGATACGTGTGAGATTAGGCCCATTAACATTCTATCAAGGATAGGGGAGGGACACGTGAGTTCTTACCCCTCTTTAAGGAGCAATTGATTGATAGTGGGTTGCTGTGGCAGGGGAGTCATTTTCTTCAGTGGTGTAGCCACTGGTAAATTGCTCAAGCTTCAGTAAATAACACTGTTCCCATGCTTATGCATGCAACCTCAATTAAATTCAGTGGGTCACATACTTGTGAAAGAAGACATGAAAGTGGGAGCAGGGCTAGTAAAAAAGAAACAAGGAGTTTAGTGGGCAGGAGTGGGTGGGCAACAGACATGGGTGTGAATCTCAGCATAATACACTGTGTTTTTTTATGACTTAAAAATCTCAACATTTTATGTATGTATGAAATTGTCAAAAATAAATTAAAAATTATAACACAAACATATACATAGAAACACCACAGATACACACACAGACTCATAAACACACATGCATGTTCATACAGACACATGTGGATGGGCACACATAAACACATGGATCACATGACAGAGAAACAGAACTTGAACCAGATATCACAGCTCTATCTAGATTAGAGAATGGACTCTTAGGAGGACGAGTTAGCACTCATATGACCAGTTCCCTGGATGTTCTGCTTCTGAGCTGACTGAATCAAGAATGAAATCTCATGGGTGTTGCCCAGACATCATGATTTCTATCTCGATTTGCATCTAGAAATGCTATAAAATAAGGGAGCTTTTCATGAAAATAAAACTCTATTTCCCCTTCTGTTTCTGCTTTCTAATTTGATAACTTTCTGCCCCCGATTGTCTCATTTTTGTCATTGGCCACATTCTGTTCACTAACCGGAACTTCCTGCCTTTCAGCTGAAATGTATCATTAGCAACTGGGGAAGAGCAATCTTTCTTCCCATTAGTAACTGTCTTTGGATATGCTGTGTCCATCTGTGTGTGATAGGGCAAGAACTGGAGCAAAAAGAAGAGAGCGTGGAATCCTACAACAAACCATCAACATTTTACTGTTGCTGTTTGTACTGGATGGTTTTGTGTGTCAACCTGACACAAACTAGAGTCATCAGAGAGGAAGGAGCCTCAGTTGAGGGAATGCCACCATGAGATCCAGCTGTAAGACATTTTCTCAGTTAGCAATCAATGGGGGCTGGGCAGCTCATGGTGGTACTGAGTTCTACAAGAAAGCTGTGTGAGCAAGCCAGGGGAAGCAAGCCAGGAAGCAGCACCCCTCCATGACCTGCATCAGCTGCTACCTCCAGGATCCCTCCCTCTTTGAGTTCCTGTCCTGAATTCCTTCAGTGATGAGCAACACTGTGGAAGTGTGAGCCAAATCAACCCTTTCCTCTCTGGCTTGCTTTTTGGTCATGGTGTTTTGTATCGCCAATAGTAACCCTAAGACAAATTCGTGCCTGGTGTGTGGTATTGCCATGACCTATCTAGCCATGTTTGGGGGAAGATTGTGGAAGGACTTTGGAACTTTGTGTTAGAAGAACCGTTGAGTGTCAAGAATTCTCTGGGATGTTCTTTATGAGCTTGGAAGATAATGTTAAGACTAGTGTACAAGATGGAGGCCTGTCTTGTGTAGTTTCAGAGGGAAATTTTTTAAAGACTATGTCAGGGCCATTTGTTGCTTTTGAATTAAGATCCTGTGGTTCTGGTTAGCTGGGGCTGAAGAATCAGCTGTGATTAACAAGATGTCAGAACTACTAAAATATAGTGATATTTCACTTGTATTTTAATAAATAAAGCGGGCCTGAAGATCGGAGAATAAAACATCCGCCCTGGTTAGCCTTACAGACCAGGCAGCGGCGACACACACACTTAATCCCAGTAGCCACACTAGTTTGCCATGGAAACAGGGCAGTAGTGGTGCATGCTTTTAATCTTAGCACTAGAGAGGAACAATTTCCCTCGGCCAGGCCTTGTGTGCTCAGTAAGCACAGAGATCTATCTACCTTCCTGCAATTATCTTTATCAGCAGGCATTTTGTCAGTGCTTAGGGTCCAGGCATTACCTGCTTAAACTGCTGCTCTGGTTTTACCTCACTGAGGAGATTCTTAACTCCTTAAGCTCACTTTCACCTCCGTTTACTAATGATTTTAATTATGTTTTGTTCTCAAAGACAGCAGAAGAGGTAATTACCTGCAGCCCAGAGAAAGACCCACAACACCCAAGATCAGAATGGCTGATAACAGCATAGCCCAGAACTGATAACTTAGAGGCCTGGGTCTCTTCATTGCTTAAAGCAGTAAGTCTAACTCCAGACCTAGGCCAGTAGAAATTGCAGCGTCTGGTGTATGTGCTTTCTGACCAAGAGCCCTGACTTCTACCTGACTGTTTACATAGGTTGCCTAGTTACCTGGTATCTTCTATGCATCCCGAGAAAAGTGGCGCTCTGATTTAAACAATCCTTGCCCTATTCATAAGTTTACTGAAATTAAACCTTTCTAACCACCTAAAAATGTAGCATAGGGAACCAACCTTCCACTCTAGAATTTCTCAATTAAGGAGTTCACCAGACATGTACTAGCCACTCCCATGGATCTCTCTCTCTCTCTCTCTCTCTCTCTCTCTCTCTCTCTCTCTCTCTCTCTCTCTTTGTGTGTGTGTGTGAAAACCCTTATTTGATTTTTGTTCCAGCTCGGAATCTATAGGGCTGGGGAATTGCTGGTTTTAAGGATATATATGACAGAATTAGTAATGGGTAGAACTACGAACAAGGTAGAACATGGAGAACGAGTTTGGGGGAACAATGAGAAATGATGCACTGGAGAGGGAAGAATGAAGAAACATGGTCAGATGATTCCCGTTGTGAGTAGATTTCTTACCCCTCAGATCTTTACCCTCAGATTTTTAGCTCCCCTTTAGCTCACCCTGGCGTCTTTAAATTGCACTCCGATACAAAGTCTTCCTCACCTTAGTACACCACCGTTCATACAGGCACATATCTACACACTGTGCACCACCCTCTACCCATTCACAACCTCACACGCTCGTATAAACACATACCTGCATGCATACATTCTTACATACATGCTCACCCAATCACTCCCTTATAGTCACGAACTCCTGTGTACATACTCACCCCATACATACTCATCTCTTACATGCATACAAACACATTCACACATACATGACAATCTCATAATGCACCCACCCACGGATATGTATGTGAGCACACTTTCACCTGCACCCACACATACTCCCTCCCTATAGGGGCTCCACCCACTCAGTACCTACTTGTTCCTCTAAGGCAAACACCCGACAAAAGTGCAAGACAAATTTTCCTTTCGTTCTGCCACTGTCTTCACAGGCTGGGAGATAGTTCTACTTTGGACTTCCTTGGTGCCCCTTTTTGCAGTTCTGGGTTGTTCTAGTGTTATTAAAAAACACTCACATGCCTGCCCTCGAGCCCTCCCGCCAGTGCAGCATCAGCTGGGCCTTATTATAAAACACCCAAGCTGGATGTCTCATTAACAACTACAGCTCTCAGTGTATCCGACTTTGACCATTGTCGTTGAAAGCAGCTTCATTATGAACTGCAATGTTAGTTTCAAAGAGAAGGGCTTGGTCATGATGCAACAAGTTATTTTTAATAGATTCTCTTGCACTGGACACTGTGTGTGTGGTGGTGGGAATTGGGGGGAGCTTTGAGAAATAAAATCTAGTACACTTCACTTGGAAACGTGTCCTGTAGGCATGCAGCATATACAGTGTGTGTGGATAGTTGAGCTCAAACAGTAATTTGACTCAACAAAGATGGCTCATCAAGTAGTACAAAAAGGTTCAGGGAGGCTCTTAAGTCCACATCTCCCACCTAGTGGCTGGATGACCCTAGGCATGCACTGTCTTTCTCTGGTTTTCCATCTGGTAGGCCAATCTAGAGTCTGTCTCCTGGGGTGTAAGAATTAAATGAGGTAGTCACGGTGACTTTTAGCCCAGGAGCAGCTTTGGTTCTTTGTAAGAAAGGCAGGCTCTCCTGTTCTGTTGTTCCTGCTGGGGGTGGGGCTCCTTTCAATTATCATTTAGGTTATTTTGGATTTCTTAAAACCTTTGCTCTTTGAACAACTGTGGGGACAATTCCTAAACATCCACATGCACAATTTTCTTATCTTTTGTCCCCCCCCCCCCCCCAGGATGACTCAGTTAGATAGAAAGTCTCTGCGGAGCAGTTTTGGACGCACGGTGGCAAAATGAGAGGGTATAGTTTAGAGGCAGAAATGCCTGGCATGGAAGTGGGACAAAGCACGGATGTGAACTTCGGAGGAGGGAACTCGGCCAGAGTGCTGACATTACGTCAGGTATCATGAAATTGTCTGAGCTCCAGGGCCATATGGAAGCCACAGTGTTCTCATACTCACTTAAGTATACACTCTCCTTGAGTTTTAAATTGAAAACTTACCTTCCAGAAAAGAGAGATCTGTTGTCTGTTAGAGCTGATGTTCTGTTTCATGTACCAGATGTCTAATGTCCCAACAGGCACTGATAGAGGGAGGGGTGAAAAGCACATTTTCACATAAATATAGGTATATACAGTAGATTTTTCAGTAAAGTCAATAAATAATTCTTAAAATAGAGTTATAGGCTAATTTCATTTTTCACTATAATCTAATATTTTCTGTTTTCTTTTATTTAAAAGCAAACATGTATCCATTTGGCACATGAGTAAAAAAAGATGGATACTTTGAAATGAAAAAGATAAAAAGTACTAAGAAAATTTATTTCCTAACTTAACTTTAAAATATATCAACTCATGTTTCATTTGTACATAGTATTTAAGTTAAAAACTCAAGATATGTGTGATTATGTTTCTCTTTTTTATTGAAAGGTGGAAAAGTAGGCCACAAAGAAAATCAAGGTCCTGTAAGAACACAAACCACAAGTACAAATAGCAAGCCTCATCTTTACCCCAGTCCTGATCTTAGATTGACATGTGATTATTTGGTGTGATCTGCTTGAAGCAAAGGCACATCTCATTTACCTAAGAGTCACAATGCAAATACAGTATCTGGAATGTGGTAAGCGTTGTTCTGTGATGAATGAGCAACAAACCAGACCAGACAATGCTATTCATTTGATGTCAAAACACAAGCTGAACAAATAGAATAAATAAGCAGCAACTATAAATAAGACAATGGTTGAATATAGTACAACTGCACTTGAGAAAGGCAAACACACTTGAAAAAGAGAATAATCAACCCGATGCCGTGTGTGTGTGTGTGTGTGTGTGTGTGTGTGTGTGTGTGTGTGTTTCCTCTCCTACTTGATAAATTTGCCTTTAGCCTGGAGTACAATCAGTCAGTACAACCACAGAAGTCAGCTGCTGTTGCTTCAACCCAGCTTCCCCCACAGGAAAACTTGCAGTGTGTTTGAGGTGAGACTGAACTGGGGTTCCTTCTGGAATAAAGTTCCTTTCAACCAGAACAAAATTTCTAGAATAGTAACACCTTCTACCTGGATAAAAAAAGCTAAATAACCAGGGAGAGACTAGCAATGGGGAAAAGGAGGAACCAGGACAGTCCCATGATAGTACTATCTCAAGGGCTTTTCTCGGTACCACCTCTCCTCCTCATGTCCTGCTGGGACTGGAGATGTTGTGCAAGGGATACCAAGGCACTAGGCTGTCTACCACAGAATCCTGCTGTGTGATCTCTAACAAACAGGCCTGTTAGCAGGCTTCCTCATCTGTCAAATGAGGTTGGTAGCTCTTTATCATGGGGGCTGTCTTGAGAATTTAGATGAAGTGTTGCCACAGGGTAAACTGTCAGCAAATTTAGCTGTTGTCATTTTTGTCATTTGAAAACTAAGTCACGGCACGAGCCTGGGACCTCTGAGGGAGTAGACTAGAGCCAGAGGTCTTTGTGGAACCAGGCCCAAGCCAGGGACCTCCATGGGAGTGGGCTCAGACCATGGATATCTACAGAAACAGGTCTGAGCCAGTGACCTAGGCCTGAGAAGGCCTGAGATAGTGAACTCCACAGGAGCAAGTACAAAGGAGCAACCACTGAGGGAGTAGGCCAGAACCTGAGACCTCTGCAGGTCTGGGTGAAAGTCTGGGCCCTTTGAGGGAGTAGACCTGAGCCAGGACCTCTGCCAGAGCAGGCACAAGGCAGCAACTTCAGCATAAAGTGCTCCAAACAATCAATCTTTGTGGGAGCATGCCCGAATAACCCATGGAATTATAGAGTGAACCCTGGGAGTGCCGAGTGACCTCCAGGAACACAGAATGACCAACGGGGTGATTGGAACTCTGGCCCTGATTGCACCAAGAGGAGCAACTATCTGAGCCATGGATCCACTGGCACCTGGAACATTGATCACCAGAGTCACAGACAGCCCCAACTACACCAATTAGAGGAAAAGATGGGTAGACAAGGTTAGAACACATGCAACACCACAAAGAGCAACATGACACCAGTAAAAACTAGTGACCCTATAACAGCAAGACTTGAACAACCAAATATAGATGAAGCAGAAGAAAATGACCTAAAAAATAACTTTAGGAGAATATTTGAGGCCCTTAAAGAGGAAATGAAAAATTTCCTCAAAGAAATGGGGGAAAAGACAAACAAAAAATTGGAGGACATCAACAAATCCCTTAAAGTAAACTAAGAAAAAGCAATCAAACATATGAAAGAAACTATTTAAGACTTGAAAACTGAAATAGAGACAATAAAGAAAACATGAGGGTATAAAAACAGAAATCATGAGGGAATGATCAGGAACCACAAATGCAAGCATAAACAGCAGAATACAAGAGATGTAAGAGAGATTATCAAGCACTGAAGATACAATAGAGGAAATCGACTCACCTGTGAAACATTAAATCTAACAAAAGCTTAACACAAAATATCCAGGAAATATGGGACACCTTGAAAAGAGCAAACCTAAGAATAATAGGGATAAAAGAAGGAGAAGGAGTTCAACTCAAAAGCATAGAAAATATATTTAACAAACTTGTAGAAGAAAACTTTCCCAACCTAAACAAAGATATGCCTATAAAAGATACAAGAAGCTTACAGAAAATCAAATAGACTGTATCAAAAAAAGTCTCCTTGCCACATAATAATTAAAATACTAAACATACAGTATAAAGAAAGAATATTAGGAGCTGCAAAGGAAAAAGGCCGAGTAACATATAAAGGTAGAATTACACCTGACTTCTCAATGGAAACAATGAAAGCCAGAAAATCCTGGTCAAGTGTTATGCAGACATTAAGAGACCACAGATGCCAGCCCAGACTACCATACCCAGAAAAACGTTCAATTACCATAAAAGGACAAAACAAGATATTCCATGACAGAACCAGATTTAACCAATCAATACCTATTCACAAACCCAGCCCTATACAAAGTACTAGAAGGAAAACTAGTACCAACCCAAGGAAGTTGGCTACATCCACAAAAACACAGACAATAGATAATCTCACAGCAGCAAATCCCAAAGAAAGGCATAACTGGATATCAACATGCAGAAGAATGAATAGACCCATATCTATCATCATGCACAAAACTCAAGTCTAAATGAATCAAAGACCTCAACATAAAGCCAACCACAGTGAACCTCATAAAAGAGAAAGTGGAAAGTATACTTGAATACACTGGGACAGGAGACCACTTCCTAAATATAACCCCAGCAGCGCAGACACTGAGAGAAACAATTAATAAATGGGACCTCCTGAAACTGAAAAGCTTCTGAAAAGCAAAGGACATGGTCAACAACACAAAACAACAGCCTACAGAATAGTAATGATCTTCACCCACCCCACATCAGACAGAGGACTGATCTCCAAAATATACAAATAACTCAAGAAATTGGTCATCAAAAGAACAAATAACCCAATAGAAAAATAGAGTACAGACCTAAACAGAAAACTCTCAATAGAGGAATTAAAATGGCTGAAAGACACTTAAGAAAATGCTCAACATCCTTAGTCATCAGAGAAACAACTCTTTGATTCTATCTTTTACTCTTGTAAGAATGGCCAAGACCAAAAACACTGATGACAACTTATGCTGGTGGTTGTGGGGTGAGGGATACACTTTTGCTGGTGGGAGTGCAAGCTGGTACAGTCTCTTTGGATATCAGTATGATCATTTCTCAGAATATTAGGAAACAACCTTTCTCAAGACCCAGTAATACCATTTTTGGGTATATATCCAAAGGATGCTCAATTGTGCCACAAGGATATGTGCTCAACTATGTTCATAGCATCATTGTTTGTCATATCCTGAACATGGATACAACTTAACTTTCCCTCAACTGAAGAATGGATAAAGAAAATGTGGTACATTTACACAATGGAGTACTACACAACAAAAAAAATGACATCTTGAAATTTGTAGGCAAATGGATGGAGCTAGAAAACATCATAGTGAGTGAGGTAACCCAGACCCAGAAAGACAAATATCATATGGACTCACTCATAAGTGGCTTTTAGACATAAAGCAAAGAAAACCAGCCTACAAATCACAATCCCAGAGAACCTAGCCAACAATGAGGACCCTAAGAGAGACATACATGGATCCAATCTACATGGGAAGTAGAAAAAGATAAGATCTCCTGAGTAAATTGGGAGCATGGGGAACCATGGGAGAGGGTTGAAGGGGAGGGGAGAGGATGGGAGGGGAGCAGAGAAAAATGTAGAGCTCAATAAAATCAATTAAAAAAAAGAAAGAAAACTGAGTTCTTAAATGGTTAAGAAACTTAGAATTAATAGTTATGGAAGTCAGGCTCTGAGCATGGGTCTGTTTGATCCTATAGCTTTGTATGAACTTCGCACCATGCAGTGATTTGGCTTTAAGAAAGCTTATGACCTCTATTAAACTTGAAAAACTTGAATTCTTCATCAGGTGGACCTTTTCTATGGCTCTTCTCTAATCCCCCTCACCCTACCCCATCTTCTGTGTGTGTGTGTGTGTGTGTGTGTGTTTGAACCTAAAGCCTTTTTCTTCCCTCTCTCCTCCCACTAGGGCTAACATTGCCCCTTCAGCAAGAACAAGATGACAAAAGTTTCCATAAGGCATTCTGAAATGCTTTCATTTCTTCAGGACATGAGAGAGTGACACAGACACTGAGCCTGGGGCTTGTATCTGATAGACCATGTACAACGAATTAAAAAGTACAGGCAACTGACACCAGCCACTCTGAAGTGTGAAGTAACACTGCCAAGTCCATGGTCTCATTAGCCCTCTTCTGATATAGAAGGCTCCCATGATGGTATCTGCTGCACAGTTGTGGACAAGGAGGTTGGCAAAGACCAGAAAGAGCTGAAAACTGGCTAAGCTGAGAGCTGAGGCCAGCTCTTGCTATCTCCAAAGGTCCTGCTTTTCCCAATGCAATGTCTATATTGAACAAAGATCTATACTGAATATGCCACAAATTACATAGTTCAGGCATTGACCATGTAGTTAGGATTGGGTGTGTTCAGTATCAAAATCAGTTATCTTGTTCACAGCAATAGTGCCTTCAGCTAATTACATATTGGCAACAAATTTAAAGGCATTGCTCACTAGATTGATTCTTAAAGATCCACCACCTAACGGATTATTACAGACTGGGAATCACATTCTGCAGCTGTGCCCTCTCTACAAACTCCAGAACAAATACAAGTGAAGTGTTAGTGGTCCTCTCCTGTGCCGGACTCAGAATGCCTTCTTTATGTGAGGGGCCAATGAACCTCTCTCTCTCTCTTTCTCTCTCTCTTTCTCGGGCGTCTTTCACTTCTCTCTGTTGCCACCATGGCACGAAGCACTTTCTGTCCTGAAGATAAGCATGCCATGCCTCCTTAATTAATTTGCCAAATTAATTGAGGTGAGTAGCACTCAAACCTATAAACAGAGTCACATACATAAAAGAAGGCCTTTTCCTCATAGGGGAGCCTTCTGCTAGGTGTCATGAGTGGTGAGTGTGCACAGGTCTGGATACTTTTGAGCTCAAATTCACGAGTGTTTTCTCACTAGAAAGAAAACATGGCTTCAAGTCCCCAGAATCGAGACAGCTTTTGATCGATGCTGAATTAGAGACTGTTTTTCAGAAGGTGGCATAGGCTTCCTTCCTCCTCCCTTTCCTTAGTGGTCATTTCTCTGAAGACCATGACAGAAGTTAAATTTAACAGCAAAGGAAGGGTGCTGTGGAGAGAGCCTTCACTCAGCTGGAATGACACAAACAGCCACACCTGGACCACCAGGGGACACCATGCTCCTCTCTGGTTTTAGAAGCTGAGGCTACAGAAAAAGAGCCCCATCATAAGTCATTCACAGTTTCAGAGAGTGAAGCCAGTTACGTACGACTAGACACTTCAAAGGGTTAAAAGGAAGAAGTGTTAAAAAAGTTTTCACACGTTTAGGTTTACATCAGTAGGTGTTTCAAAAAGAAACTGATGACAGAGAGTGTGGTAAGGGGTGTAAACCACAGAGCTTAAAGTAAGAGCAGGAGCACAGGACAACCCACAAAAAGATCAAACCGGAGAAGCAAGGTACAGACATTGAAAGGAAGCCTAAGGGCTGAGGTAAGCCATGCATCAGATCTCTGGGTGCCTGCTCTGCTCTGAACACAGCAGTCTCATGGTGACTGGTAACTTATTCACCGCATGTTAGAGTTTCTAGCTTGCCTTAGAGAAGTTTGAGTTTATCAGGTAAGTACTGAAAAATAAGAAAAGAAAATTCTTTTTGATAACTATTAATAACTTACTTTTTTTCAGTAAGTAATTAATCCATGTATAAATGACAAGGATTCCTAAGCCTCATGTTTCTGTAGTTTATAGCTCAGACCCATGTGATGTAATAATGTAGCTTACAGATGTCTAGACCCATATACTATTTTGGATTTGAATATTAAATTTGACCCACTTAAAAAATCTTATCTGCATTGTGCAAACAAAAATATAATCCACGAGGTATTTAAAAAATATTACTTCACACTGGGGGTGGTGGTGCATGCCTTTAATACCAGTGTTTAGGAGGCAGAGGCAGGGGTGTGGTCTTTGAGTTCAGGGTCAGCCTGGTCTACAAATTGAGTTCCAAACTAAAGAGAACTATATAGGCGACCCTGTCTCAAAACAAACAAAGAAAACCAACAAAACACCCAACTATTAGGAGCTCAAAGACTGCAGCCCAATCATACAAGGCTGCTTCTCATATGCAGATTCCCACCTTTGCAAATAACCATTTAGATGTTCATATCAGCATTACAAAAACTCCAGCTGGGTGTGAAAGTGCACATTTTTAATCCCAGTACATGGGAAGCAGAAGCAGGTAGAGCTCTGTGAGCTCAAACCCATTCAGGTATACATAGTGAGTTCTAAGTCAGCCAGTCAATTTGTCTTACCAGTTGTGTTGCTTGGCCTATCTGAGGCACTCCTGGCAGTGGAAGCAGGATCTATTCCTGGTGCATGAGCTAGCTTTTTGGAGCCCATTCCCTATTGTGGATGCTATGCTCAGATTTGATGCAGTGGGGACGGGCTTGGACCTGCCTCAATTTAATATGTCCTTTTTTGACCCATAGGAAACCTTATCCTTTGGAAGGAGTGGAGGGGGATGGGCTGTGGGGGAAGTAGGGGTGAGAGGTAGGGGTGAGAGGAGGGGTGGAAGGGAGAACTGTGGTTGGAATGTAAAATGAAATTAAAAAATTTTGTCTCACAAAATTCTAGGTAGTAATAAACAATTGATTATATTCCTGTAATTTTTTCTTTGATTTAAATTTACATAAAGTATCGGAACAGGACCCCAGCCCAGACCTTAGCACAACTGACTCCATGATGAAAATACCATTCAGGTTTTAAAATTCAGCAGGTAGACAATACCACCTGCTAAAACTAAATCGAAGTCCATCTAGTTCTGAGAAAGTCTCAAAATGTACTAACCTTGCTTTTTAGATTCTGTAGTTCTGCTTCTGTCTAATTGTTCTTGTTAACTGAAGTACGGGTGTGTGTGTATGTGTGTGTGTGTGTGTGTGTGCATGCGCTTGAAAGTTCACTCTCAGAAAGTCTCAGAACTACATTGGGATCCCGAACATGCAGTGTAATTGCTGGTCAGTTAGTAAAGATTTTCTCTCAGCTTAAACCCATGTTCCTAGGAGTCTTCTCTAGTGAATACCCCACAACAATATGAAACGTTCTATACTATGTCACTACTCAAAACGGAAACAAAACGAAACAGGATTCTTGTGAATTCAAAAGGTTTACTATTGGGAAGGGTTTTCTAGAACCAGCAGGGCAGCTGCACTTCAGAATTCATAGGAGTTGAGACAGCATGCACAAGAACTCCACAAGCTCACATGGCCAAAGGACAAAGTGTTTGTACCCTCCAGTGAAGACTACACACCCTAGAGTATATTCAGCACAAATTGAACTTTGTGGGTTTTAAAAACAAACAACAGGAACAAAGAAGACATAATTGTGTGGGTTAGTTATGAAAGTGGTAGCAGCTGGGGACAGAATGGATACGATCAAAACACGTTACACAAAACTCTTTGAGAACTCATAAAATGAAGAAACAGTTTGTTAATACGACAAAAAGATTATAAAAGGACTTGTGTTTCAATAAAATGTTGGCTTATATTTCTGTGAAATTAACTTCTTAATAATTATCAAAAGGAAAAGCCCGTTCATTGGATTAAAAATTTGAACTTGTTATGCTGCTCTTGGTCCTGGTCCACTGGGCTCCCTTGGGCAGGATAGTGCCGAAGGCCAGCAGTGTCACGCAACAGTACAGGAAGGAGGATTGTTAGACATTCCTTTTATTTTAGGATACTCTCTTCAGAAATTCTTTCAAACTTTTAGTATGGCTTATAATTTCTAAATTATCATTTCTAATTTTCAAAGAACTAAAGCAATAAAATGTATCAAAGAAATGAGGTTAATTACTGGCTACAGCTTTGGGGAATAAGAGGTACTGAAAAAGTAAGAGAAAAAAAGCACACATTTTACTAGATGGTAATAAGACAGTGGCTTGACTGATGGCAGACAGGGGCAGGTTGGTCTCCTGTTAAGCTTCTTAGCATCATAAACTTGCCTTCCCGGGTGGTTTCTGTACACCATGCACTGAAAGAGTCTACTCCAGGGAAGGCTTTGCCTTTTCCAGTTCTCCTCTTCCTGATCCCCCCCCCATCCCCCGCCCCGTTTTGGCTGGATGCCTACCTTCCTCTGGTGTTTGTGTTGTCAGTAGCTTGCTCCAATTGCTCCAGCTTCCTTTAGAAAGATACAGCTTAGACGAAATCTGAAATTCATATTCTGTAAATGGCTTCAGATGCTGTAGACTGTATCTTCCCTTGGCATTTGTAGCATTAACCTTGAATCAGAAGAGATGGGTTTCACTGAGATACCACGCTTCTGTACTCTTATGGAGTGGACTGTGTATTGTGTGACAGTTCAGTACAGGCAGAGGGTATGCAATGGCCAAAGAAAGGAGATAAGACCCATCTCCCACAGAATAGTATGCATTGAGCCGAAAGAGATGACTCAGATATTAAAAGCACTGGCTGCTCTTGCAGAGGACCTGGGTTCTATTGCCAGGACTCAACATGGCGGCGGCGCACAACCATCTATAACTCCAGTTCTTGGGGATTCAATCAGATGCCCTGTGCTGGCCTCTGCAGGCACCAAACATGCACGTGAACACAGAAATAATAAATCATGCAGAACAACCACACACATTACCAAAAACCAACAACAACAACAACCTGAAAATAGTAAACATTTTCACACTCTACTGACCACTCTGAAGTACAGCATATGTTACTTCAGATGTTTAAGGTGTTAATGTGCTAAGGGTGAGCCTGATGTCACTCCTTTACTCAAACAATCTCTTCCTTCCTCTCTACCCACCACTGGCTCTAGTGACAAACACATGTTCTTACTCATGAAGGCAATCACGTAGAACAGAATGAATAGCAGAACTCACAAGGGTTTTAAGATACCTATTAGTAGCAAATGAATGTAAAGAGGAGGTAGTTTGGTGGTACAATATGTCTTCAGCATGTTCAAAGCTCATATATAGAAAGGATAATACAAAGACTTTTGAAAAGATTGCTTTATTTATGTATATGTGTGCCTGTGCACCATGCATGTGCAGGAGGTCCAAGGAGGCCAGTCAGATGAGGGCAGCACCCCAAAAACAACCAACCAACTAACCAACCAAACCTGCTGTTTAAAGACTCTAAGGATATCATGAGATTGCTTGATGGGTAAAGGGGTTTGCTGAAAGTCTGACATTTTATTTGATCCCCAAGATTTGGGGGAACCAGCCCCTCCCCCACACCACACAAATAAATAAAACTAAACAATGGAAATAAAATTCAGTACCAGGGGATCAAGATATTTCTTGTGTGTGTGTGTGTGTGTGTGTATGTGTGTGTACTTGTTCATGTGTATGCATGTGTGTGGGGCACACACATGTCTTTGCATGTGAGACCATAGGTCAGGTATGTTAGGTGTCTTCCTCAATTGCTTCTCTACTGTTTTTTTTTTTGAGTATAGTTTCTCATTAAACCTGGTGTTCTCGCTGACTGATCGCACTAGCTGACCAGTGCCCTCCAGAGACCCTCCAGTCTCTGTCAGTGCTGGGATCACACGTGTCTGCTGCCATGACCCTCTCTTTAGTGAGTGAGGGTTCTGAGGATCCAAAATCAGCCCTCACTCTACCTACTGACCCATTTCTTCTACCTCAGTCTTTCTTTTCTTCTTTTTTTCTTTTTTTCAAGCTCTGTGTAACAGCTCTGGCTGTCCTGGAACTCATTCTGAAGACCATTCTTTCCTCAAACTCAGAGATCTGCTTTTCTCTGCCTCCTAAGTACTGGGATTAAAGGCATCACTGTCCTTGTCCACGCTTAAAGCCAAGGTCACGCCTTATGAAATAAGGCAAAGCCAAACCTGAGATGGCAGGAGGAAGGAGTTAGTGCCAGGAAACACATGTGAGATCAGTCCCTGGAGCACCAGAACACTGTTCTGTGTAGTAGAAATCTGTAGTCACTGAATCTAGGGTAGACATTAGAAGGAATAGTGTTTTCTAGAAGTGCTTGGCCCTTGAAGAAATCCCTGTGGGAAAGTGACTGTTCCCTGATATCTATAGAGAAATTTTTGTGAAGCAGCTTCACAGTCTTTGGAGGAGGTTGGCTGGTCACAAGGCAGTCCTGCACACCTGGAGCATCTTATGTTACTGGGTACTGCAAATGGTACTCAGGAGGACTAAAGTAGCAGGGTGTGATGCTTTCCTTCGAAAACATGTAGATTAGGTCGGGGACTTTGGTATGAGGAACCTGTTTTACCCCCCCCCAAAAAAAAACAAGTGTTGTGTAATAATCAATAAATATGCCTTTGCATGGCTGTTTGGGTTACAGTCCACAGAAACTGGAATTAAAGGTGTGTACCACCACTGCCTGGCCTTCTTTCCTTCCTTCCTCCTCCTCCTTCTCCTCCTCCTCCTTCCTCAGAATTTATAAATTTTAATGACTTATTTTTATTTTATGTGCACTGGTGTTTTGCCTGCATATATGTCTGTGTGAGGGTGTTACACACAGTTGTGAGCTGCCATTTGGTTGTTGGGAATTGAACCACAGTCCTCTGGAAGAGCAGCCAATGTTCTCAACCACTAAGCCATCTCTCTGGCGCCTCCAATATTTCTTAATAAACAGAGAGATGGCTCAGTAATTAAGAGCATGTTCTGCCTTTGTGGGACCAGGTTTTGGTTTCCAGCAACCATACGGTTGCTCAGAACAGTCTGTGACTCTGGCCTCAGGGAATCTAATGCTCTCTTCTTGCCTCTTAGGAGAAGGGAAATACTTGTACACACAAAAATTCTAAAATGTAGACAGAGGTATATACAACTTTCTGATGGAATTTCAATATGTGTTTCTAGGCTGAAAGTTCTTAAGCTCCCTAATTTGTTGACATAGTAAGATGAGTCTGTGCAACAGTGCCAAGAGCCCTTCCTGATTTTCTGCCATTCCTCTAAAGACTGTTACCATATTCCAGGACATGCTGTTAGAAGGCCGGTATCTGAGTCGATTGAGCACCACTTGCCCCTCGTCTTTCCATTGCACGATACATCTGCTTTCAGAAGCATTTAGAAAATCGATTCTGATGTCCCACGGAGGAAGAGGCCTCACTAGTAACCAAGACAAACAAAAATGTACCAGTCAGGCTTTATGATCAGTGATTGCTTTAAGTACTGACATGAATGTTGGTTTCACTTCTCAGCTATTTGAAATAACTGCTCTTAACCCAACCTCATCTTTACCAGATAGTGGATGTGTGGACAGCATTTACTAGATTTAAAGAAGACCAATGTGCCAATGACATTCAACACAATAGCCTCAAACTTTGTACCTATTGTTACTTTCCATCAGTTCTTGTCTCCTTTAAAATAGCTACACATAGAAAACTTCAGTGAGTTTTAAACAAATCTTCATGTGCCAGTTAATGACACCTGGAAAAATGCAATCAAATTTACCTATGTCCAACAACGTGAACGTAAATGGAAATGAAGAAGAGTTTCCAAGCTGATTTTTGGCAGTGACACTGACTGTGAACTTGGATTCAGCTAAATGAGACGTTAGACTGATCCCAAGACTCAAGCGATTACAATTCCAACAACTGCCTTGGTCCTGATAGGTCATATTGTTTGGTCCAGTTAACCTGTAACCCAAGCAAACTGTGTTTAGTAATATACTTTACATGCTGCTTCCTACAGTCACTACAAAATTTCAGACACATTTTAAGGCTGGTCTTATTACTAGGGGATATTCTGTGGGGATACTTGAATCCTGTTCTCATTTATAAGACTATATCTCCTCCTTACCCCCTTTTTGGTACAACTGAAATCTTTTGAAATGAATGTCCATATAGAGGGCTTTTGGTTAATACTTTTTAATTTCCCAAACCCTGGCTGTTATCTTGTCTTTTCAGGGAAGTTCTAATGCTTATCCAAAGAATCTTTGAACATCTGATCTCCATTCAATGGAAGTATGGTGTGAGCTCACAGTGCAGAGGTAGGAAAACTCCATCCTGGTCCCACTGTCTTTTCGATTTCCTGTTTACCTAGGCACAGTTGTACCTGTGATGGGATTATGGGATATATTCCAAAAAGGGCGGCCACCCATATCCTCTCTTCTTGTGGACTCTCACACCAGCCAACTGTATTTTAAAATGTAATTCCTCCAAGGAAGAGTCCATTTATATATCACGATGCCCCAAAGTGTGAGACTACAAAAAAGATGGGGTTTTACACAGCCAGCTTAACCCAATTGTAGGGAGACTATCTTAACTGAGATCTTGGATGACCCAAAGAAAACTTTAAATGAGAATGTAGAACTAAGATATCAGGCCTCACAGTTCAAGGGACTGGAGCAGTTCTCAGGGACAGACACTGGAAATGGTATTTAACTTCTTGGTGAGGGATCTATTGCTGTTTCTCCTTAGCATCTAATAAACCATTTGATATTGCTGTAAGACAGAAAACACACAAAACAGCCACATAGCCTCTTACTCACTGTAAAGTGTAGTGGGTTTCCAGATGGGTATCTAGTCCAGGGTCCCAGGTACAGGCCACAGTCCCACGTTCTCCTTCCTGGAGGCATGATAGGTTTCGAGGTGGGTCTGGAGCAACTTTACAAAGGAAGAGCAAGACTTGGTGTTTGGAATAGTCTGAAGGTGATATCGAGATCACACTGTTATTGTTTGCAGTATATTGATAATAACTTCCACATGCCCCACAAATCTAGATGAAGTCATTATCTAACATGCTAAGATTTGCTTCCAAGGCATGGATTTTCTCTAATAATTAAAGCAATCGTGATGAATATTGATCATTTTCTTTAGCCTAAACCTAGTACCAAGTGTCTTATATGCAGTTCTCAGCCAGAGCACTCCATAAAGTAGGTAAGATTATTTTTTATGTTATCAAAGAAGAAACAAAATCTTAGGCAAAACATCTGCCCCAGACTACAAAACTATGAAGGGCAGAATCAGGGCTCAGGTTTAGGTGTGGCTGGCAAGTCATAATTCTACCTTTTATAGAAAGACAAATATCTATTATTCCACAATGCCAGAGGAATACTAACTCACTATAAGAAGTTTTGAGCCAGGCATGGTGGCACCCACCTATAATTCCCTCACTCAGGAGACTGATGCAGGAGGATTGTGAATTCAAGGACAGTCAGAGCCACTTAGTTCAACCCTGTCTCAACAAAGAAACAAAACCAACCAAACAAACAAACACAAATCTCCACCACCAATGACAAATTAAAAAACAAAAACAAACATTGACTCTGTCTCCATGCACTGCCAAGGCACTGTATTGCTTGGAGGCCTTTATGAGCAGGTATAGATTACTTCTTATGCATACAGATATTTATAGCCTCCATTGACCAGGCATAGGCATAGCTGTCAAAACAAAGGTATACAAGGCAAGGGGTCTGTATATTTTCAAACAATATATTGTTAAAGTGTGTATGGGTGTTTTGCCTGTATGTGTATGTAGGCACCATTTCTTGTCCTGGTGCCCACAGAATGCAGAAGAGGGCATCAAATTCTCTGGAACTTGGTTATGTAACTTGGTTACAGAAGGTTATGAACCTCCAGGTGGGTATTGGGAATTGAATCCAGATCCTTTGAAGAACAGAATTAATGGAGGGTTTTGAGAAAATGCTTAGTTGAGTAACCATCCCTTTCTAATACAGTACTGAGATTCTGATGCAGACAGATGTGCCTTTGGCAAGACAAAAAATGCATACTGCAAAATTTTTGCCATTTTTTTCCAAAGTCATAACTGATGAGGAAATATAATTTTTTTTGCTAGTATCCACCACAGATATGTACACAGTAGTGTTCTTCGTGGGGCCTCGGACAAGATAACATCTCAGTATTTAGTTCTGTCTATTGACTGCCTATAACAATATATAGCTCTTCTGGTTCTATTTAATAAAATAACAAATTATTAATTTTGCTAAAATAATAAGTATTTCTTTACATACTTGTATTTAGGCATATATACCTCCATAATGAAGGCTAAAAAGGGCCACAAAATCATCCAGGGTACAACCATGTTCAGTGACTTGCCAAGCTGGATCTGAGAAGCTGTGGGCTTCTGGCTAGAAACTGTAGTCAGGGGTCTGCTGCCTCCCTTGTGCTCATGCAGCAGAGGGCAGTTGTGATGTTCTAGTTCTTTCCTCTTAGCAGTTGCCTGGAGGGACCAACTATGCAAGCCAGTAGAATAAAAGAGATCCTATGTGCTAAACTTGGACTAAAGGGGAGCTAGGTAAAGGCTTTCCCCTTTTCTTGCTATCATATTTCCTTATGCTTTTCCTGGAAATGTCCTCAAGTGGTCAAACCGTCATCAGTATTTTTTGTGAAGGCTATTGCCAGCTTAGTAACATCACCACACCATACCATCATGTACACACAATGGTGTCAGTCTGTAACAGCGGTCCTGTGAGATGTTGTCATTCAGAGATGCCATTTTAGCTTAAGTATACTTTATGCTGTTTGCATAATGGTGAAATTAATGACACTTTTCTAGAACTATCCCAGTACTAAAGGATACATTAACTGTATTTCCTAGCTTCGTTTCTCACTCTAAGCTCCCTTTTTGAAGTATTAGCCTATGAGCTTTGCATGGGGCATAATTCCAGGAAAGGTCCCTAAGTATGGTGGCAGTTTCCTGCTAGCCTCTCTGCATGTGATCGTCACTCTTCATGGGTGGGTGGAGATGGAAGAACTACTTGCTGGGCACTAAGAGAAGGGAGAGGAGGTGCTGCCAGTCTGGGATGTAAGAGCTGGAAGAGACACTCTCCCATCGCTTTAGGAAGTTGTAGCTTTGAACCAGTTTTCCTAAACCAAGAGGCTGTGGCAAACTAGCTGTAAAGAGCCACGCACAGAGAGTAAGCAAATTATCCCAATGGTCAGAGAAAGAGGAAAGGAAGAAAGAGAACTGGGAGAAAGAGAGTGAAGGACAAATGGTGGAGAGAGACTGCGAGGTCCCAAATAAGATCCTAATCCTGTTGATTTCTAGACTTTTCACACAGGGATTCTCAGGCTGGTCTCACAATAAAATACTTAATGTTATGGGAGAACAGAAAAATCTGTCTGGTGTTCAGGTTTCTGTTTATCTCATGTCAAACACACACCCACTCACCCCCCTCACTAACACAAAGACACACACAAACATACACGTAGACATACAGAGATACACAGATACACACAGACACAAAGAAATATAGACACACAGACACACACAAACACAAAGACACACACATAGACACACAGACACACACAAACACAAAGACACACATATAGACATACAGAGATACACAGATAGACACAGATACAGACACACAGAAATATATAGACACACAGACACAAACACACACACACATAGACACACACACATAGACACACACACACACACAATGACCACTTCATAAGAGTTCAGAAAGGAGTGCTCACCACCAACTGAGATCTCTGCTCCACACACAGAGTAGTACTGACTAGTTTGAGGACAGCGCACCCGGCAGACAAATACGGTAATACCAAGGGAAAGGTTGGAGACTTGAATAGTGGAGGAGCGACCATTGTGGGAATGGACTTCTTGGCTAGACTTAAAGAGGACTAATTCAGAACCAGGATGATTCCAGCAGCGGTGCTTGGGGTTCAAAGAGCAGGAGATATTGACAGCTGACCCAAGTGGAATCACAGGGGAAGGCTTGACAGTCACTGTGCCTCGCTTGCAGGGATCTGCAGGAAGAGACAAAAGCAAAACTCAGCTAGAAGGAAGACATCCATTTAAAGATGGAGAGTTTGTTCAATCCCCATAGTAGGGTGAAATTAAAACTCATCAGACCACGGAACTGTTAATAATAACCTACATTGCTCCAACAGCATTAGCAATGCTGGAGAATTAGAAGACAGTCATACTAAAATGTGTTTGAATTAAATGCATGTTCTTATCAAAACATCCATGCTATAATCATAACAAGAGGAAAGTAGCAAGAAAACAGCATTGAAAGAACATTCTGGAATGCAGTTCTAAACTCTCTCAGGTGACTTTTCCACATTCAGATTTCACACCAGACCACTTAAAGAGAGCTTTTCAGGATAAATTACATAATTCCCATTGCCTTTGTAATTTAAAATGCTTATTTTAATAATTATATTAAGAAAAACAAAGACAATCTTACAAGACATTAGGGACATATGTAGAAATAATTTCTTCTCTTAATATATCAGTTGTATTAAATGAACATAACTTGTAATATCATTTTATAATAAAGATAAAATATTCAAATATGTGGTTTTGTGATCCCAGCACTTGGGAGGCTAAGATGGAGCATCATGAATTATTGGTCAGACCAGGCTACAAAGTCAGAAAATGTAGCAAAGAATCAAACAAAAAAACAAAGGAAAGTGGGTCCAATAACCTGCATTTTGATATTTCTTTAAGCTGTAGGCCCCTGGGTAATATGGTTGAAGTAAATGACATGTATGTTCCTCTTTTTGGATGACTCTTATGGCTTAGTTACTATCATCAATGTCACCTTGAACTCCCATGTAACTCACTTCCAAAAGCATTCCACTGACACACTTCAGTAAAAAGAACTACAAAATAAAGATGCAGTCTCAGTTTCAGATGTGATGTAAATCTCCCCGTGAAATCGTCTTTGGGGATAATTCTGTGATAGGATCAATATGCATAAAAGAGGAATTAGTGAAGAAGTTATTATTTACCTTAAGTAAATGAAATACTGAACAATCCTTTAAAAGAAAACACTCATTTTTATTTTCAAAGTTAAATGGAATCTCTCTCCCTCTCTTAGTTTTGGTCTATGTCTGGTCTTGATTTCTTTGATTCTTCATTGTAATGGGCCAGAAAGCCCAAATCAAACTCTTACTCAAGAAGCCAGGAAAATGTAGACAGACACACACTATGCATATTTATAGACATGCATATGTATGTATCATATTCATATGATAGCTGAATTCAACCATGAATACTCCTGCTAAAGTCACTCTAACTTTTTATTTTATCATTTATATGTGTGTGAACATGGGCCACAGTACACATTTGAGGCTAGGGTGTGGGCTCAAAGGGTCAAACTCAAGTGGTCAGGTTTGCAAAGCAAGTGCCGTTACCTGCTGAACCATCTTTCTGGTTCTAAAATGCATTCCATTATGCTTCAGGTTTATTAGCCAGTTTCTCAAGAGTAAATATATGATTATATCCAATGCTAATCATTAAAATAAATAAGACAATACTACAGAGCCAAACTTATCCATTAAATGTTAAAAGACTGAATACAAAATTCACTTTAGAACTCTTACCACAATACATGGTTCATTTGTACCTGAGAATTTAAACTGCAATTCCTTCTACAGACATGACTACAGAAATCTCTTACCTATATCTGCTTTAATCAACAGCCACATGAATAAAAAATTCAGTCCCGACAAGAATCCTCTAAGAGTGTGTGCCATGAGCAGTCAACTCCAGAATGCAACTTGAGTTCTCCTTACAAAAGAAGACAAATTCATTCATGTTAAGTACATTCAGAAAATGCCAGAACCACCACTTTCCAGAACAATTCAAGTACTACTGTTTCCCCATGTTGTTAAGCCTGTAAACTTAGGAAACTGAAGAATCATAGCTACCTTCCCCCATCTCAATGAACCACCTTGCTTCTACCATAATTTCTTTCAATTATGGGCTGCGATGTGCAAGTGTAAGGTATAACGGGCAGAGATGAGAAGGGGCTGGGTATCTCATTCTCTTCAGGCTGCTGCAACAGCTCCAAAGTGATGCTGGGAGCAACCAGAAAGTTGGACATCAAGAGGGCAGACACTCAATGTCTCGGGAGAACCTGCTTCTCAGTTCATGGATGGCACATTGGACTTGCTTTTCCATGGTATGAGGAGCAAGGCAGCTGGAGCACTATCCCATACATATGTGCTGAGCTCTAGGATAGGATCACCTTTCAAAGGTTCCATCTCCTCAACCATTGGTTATTAATATTTAAACACGTGGGTTTTGAGGGGACATGAACAAAGCAAACTTTGAAGGCATTTAAAACTGGGTTTAAATATTGTGACCATATGAAATTACTTAACCTGCTGGGTGATGGTGGCACACGCCTTTAATCCCAGCACTTGGGAGGCAGAGGCAGGCGGATCTCTGTGAGTTAGAGACCAGCCTGGTCTACAAGAGCTAGTTCCAGGACAGGCTCCAAAACCACAGAGAAACCCTGTCTCGAAAAACCAAAAGAAAAAAGAAAAAAAAAAAGAAATTACTTAACCTGTCTATACTCTACCACGCATAAAACTTGTTTTTCCTCTTAAAAAGGCTGTCATCACAATAAATAGACTTCTTGATTGGTGGAGATTTTCTAATCTCATTGTAGCTCTAAAAACAGTAGATTAAAAAATGGCTCCCACTGGTGTGGTAGCATGAACACTGAATTGTATCTTATTCTGATTATTTTTGCTACACACTAATTGGCATCTTTATGGGTTTTCATTATTGTAGTGAAAAGGTTAAAATACACTATCATAGAACATTAGCCAGCAATGCTACAAACACTAGAAAGACATGAGTGAGCCACAAGGTCAATTTTGTACTGAATATAGTGGCACAAATGTGCAACCCCAGCACTCTGGAGCCTGAGGCAGGTGTCTCATAGTTGTGAAGCCAGCTTGGACAAACCCCTGTCTCAAAATTACAACAACAGGACATCGTTTTGATTTTTGTCTTGGTAAGTTTTATGTCAACTTGACACAAGGTAGAGTCATTTGAGGAGAAGGACTATCAATTGAGAAAATTAAGAACAGGCCAACATCATTTAGGTGAAGTCTTCTGGGAGTATTTCCTCACGGTCAGCACACAGAAGCTGTGGTCCAGAGGCTCCAAGGCTACATCTCATGCTGGCAGCCGAACTTGGTATATATGAGTCACCCAGGTGTTACTGGTTTTGGAGGCATGAAGGGGTCACAGTGAGCAGCGGAGACCTGTCATTGTGTGGCAGGGCAGGAATTCCTGAAGAGAGGCAGGAGAGTTCATTAGTGAAGGTAAAAGCCTCAGTTGTAATTGAAGTCCTAAGATTGAAGGGGTCATGGAGAGAAGTCGAGGCTTGACACACATGCAGAACCAGAGTCCCTGAAGAGAGCCCAGAAGAGGCTGTTGGTGAAGGTGCAGCCCAGTTTCAGTGCAGATGCTAGTACCATGGGATGATGACCACGGACAGCAAGGGCTCTGTGTGAAGTTGGCCTGAGTGGATAGGGTACAGTGTGTGCTGTGGCAAGTCCTTTAGAGTCTGGAAGTCGTGAATCACAGAATCTGACATTGTTGGATTTTGGTTTTGCTTTGATATGATTTTAACTGTGCCCTGATTTTTCCCTCGGAGTAAGAAATATTAGTTATTTTTGATTTGACAGGTGCCTACAATAAAGAGACTCTGGAATTTTACAGAGAGCTTGGATATTTTAAAGAGACTTAGCTTTTAAGTGTTTAAATTTTTAAAAACTTGAGATTTTTAAAGTTTTATACTGTAATATGGATATTGAGGTAATCAGGATGAGCAAGAGAGGGAAGGTTATGGTTGAGCAGTAAAGTGTTCATTTACGAAGTTGACTAGGGTCAGTTGTCCTTGTTAGTTTATGTTGATTTGATGCAGGCTAGGTTATTTGGAAAGTGAGACTATCAATTGAAATATTCCCATAACACAGCTCATGTTGGTGAGGATGTCGGAAAAGTGGGACACTTATCCATTTTCAGTATGAGTGCAAACTTGAACAAACACTATACCCCAAGAATCTAGGAATAGATCTAGATCCAACTATACTACTCTTGGGTCTATACCTAAAGGACTTTACGTCCTATTACAGAGACACTTGATTATCCAGTAGCCACATATTGGAAATGGCCTAGATGTCCATTAACTGGTGAATGAATGAAGACAATATGATGCATTTACACAATGGAATTATTGTTCAGCTGCTAGAAATAAAAGCATAAATTTCACAGGTAAATGGATGGAGTTCAGCCAGAGTGAGGTAACCCAGGCCCCAAAAGAAAAATATGGTATATGTTCTCTTATAAGTGAATGTTGGCTTTTAAGCCTTCTCTAGGAATCCTACAATCCACATAACCACAGAGGTTAGATAACTAGTAAGGGACTTAGTGGGGGAAGGGAGGATTTACCAAGGAAGAGGAAATAGAATACATAGTTTTGGAGAGAGAGTGGGGAGAATGGAACAGGAAGATTAAATGGGGAGGAGGAGACAAAAGTGGGCGGGGGGTGGGGAATAATGAGAGGCACAACACCAAGAGCCATTTGATGAGGTATATGAAAATCTACTAATGTATAAATTTCTTAAACTATGTACATAATAAAATAAATCTAAATGGAGTCACCAAATAATGAGAAGACTGTAGGGGAAACTCCGCCTAATGGGGGCGTGTTCGCCTCAGGATAATGTTTACATATAAATCTGGCAGTGTGAGCCCCGCTGCTCTCTCTTTTTTTGTATCTCCTGCTCATCGCTGGATCCCTGGTGTTGTAAGCTATTCCTTCATTAAAATTTGCTGTTTCATATTAAGCTAGCCTAGTTATTACACCACCTACATAAGACAGCACCCCAACTAGACATCTTTTGGCACCAAGTGAAACTCAAGTGACAGGAATGGATTACATCTAATTGAGTTGTTGGCCAAAGGGGCCCCATGGACACCCTCAAACAACTCAGGCAAAGGCTATTGGTAGCTCTCCACCAACTGATAGTAACACTCTTTGGCTGAAGAAAACACTTACATAACTCATTAAACATGAAAAAGTTGAGCTGGTGTCTATAGACTTTACCCCTACTGACTGGTGTTCACGGTACTGGGACGTATTCTGTGTGGTACCAGAGGAGAAAAGTAAACAGCAACCCAGTTACAAACTCTAAATGTACAATGGTGGCCTGAGCAAGTTATTATGGTGCAATAAGGGTGTAAATGTTATGAGAGTAAGACACCACTCTCTGATTAGATTTAAGGCCCACTCCGTGAGATGGAACCCATGCCCAACACTGCTTATATGGCCAAGAACCCGAGATTAGAGAGGGCATGTGCTTAGGGGAAATATACCATTGTTCTGCTAAAGGAGCACAACAGTAAAACAACTTCTAATGACATTTTACTATCCCCATAAATCAGTGCCTCACTAAGCCACTATCAGAGACGTTTTCTCTTTCAGTAGATGGAAACTAATACAGAGACCCACAACTGGACTGAAAGACCCTACAGACCCTCCCCTCATAACCCACAGCTAGCCGGCTCTCATGAGAACATCCTGTTCGCTTGAGACCCTCAGGACCCTCTCAGGACCTGCAGCTAGCCACTCTCATGAGAACATCCCGGTCATGTAGGAAAACAGGATGCCTATAGTCAGCACATGTGCCAAACTTAAAATATCAGCAGTTTACAAAAGAAACAATTCCCTCTATGAAGGACCCCAGCTTAACTGCTGTAACATCATTTTACAAGGCTCTTGACAAACAAATGTAAGTGCAGAGTGAGGTCAGGGCCTCTGGCTTGCAAAGCAGGATATTTATGAGGTCAGGGCCTCTGGCTGCAAAGCAGGATATTTATGACGTAGATGTCTGTCACCATAAATCTGTGCTGGAAAAGGAAAAACCACTTATGCCCCCTGCCCCATTCTAATCAGACCAATAACCACGCATCTGCTTCTGTAATTTGCATTTTGGCCGCCCTCTTTCCTATAAAAAGACCTTCCCCCAGTCTGCAGGCGCAAGTCCTCCGAAAGACTTTGTTGCCCACAGGTACCTGTGTTTACCCAATAAACCTCTTGCTATTTGCATCTGTGTGGTCTCGGCCTGTTCCTTGGCTTCGGGGGAGTCTCCTCTCCAGGGAAGTCCTCTCCAAGGGTCTTTCATGGACAATGTGCAAAGAGTGAGAGACTTAGGAACACTCACCTAAATGAAAAGTCTGTATCAATCCCCTCCCCTTAGGGCTCTGGGAGCTATGAGGAAGGGGAGGTGAAAAAATTGTAAGAGCCAGTGGTGGTGGAGGACAATGAGGAAACAGTGTCTTCCAGACACAGCAGGAAGGATGCACGTGAATTCACAGAGATGGTGGGACCACACACAGGGCCAGCACAGGTTCAAGTCAGACAGGGTTCTAATGCTGAGAACGGGAAGTGGACACCATTTTCCACCCCTATTCAAGAAGCTATCCCCAACTGATACCCATTTGCAAAGGACAAATGTATTTTCTCCATTGGAATCTCACTGGGTATAAAAGGGTAGACTGATATTTTTTGTTTTTCATATTTCTTTGTTTGGGTATTTTTTTATATCTTACTGGTCTTTTGCTTGTACATTATGGGTTCTGATTATGTGTTTAATTTTTTTGTATCTGTATTTCTTATGCTTTTTCATTGTTTTAAATTCTGTTTTCTATTTTTCTGTTTGTTTTCTGAACAGTTAGAAAACGGTGGTATGGTAGGGAGGGTCTGGGGGAAGACAAGGGATGGGAAATTGTGATCAAAATATATTGTACAATTTTCAAATAAAAAAGAAAAAAATTGTCTGTAGGCAAGTCTGTGGTGCATCTTCTTGATTAATGATTAATGCTGATGGTCCCAATGTCACTGGTGTAATGCCACCTCTGGGCAGAAAGTACTGGATGGTAAAAGAAAGCAAGCTGAGCAAGTCATGGGGAAGAAGCCAGGAAGCAGCGTAACACAGGTATATAAACAGAAGCTTTGATTGCCCCTGAAAATCAGGTAAAAACAGTTCCGTTTATGAGAAGTTCAAACCCCTCAACAACCTTCAAGTAAATGAGGCATCTTCCAATAAAATGAAACCTCACATGGGCTGTAAACATCCTTTACACAGCCTGACTCCAAGGTCAATCTCAAAACTACAGCTCTCTCTGAAACACAGAATGAAAGACTCTGTCCCTGACTCATCACTCACCCCATGGCTCCCAGACAGTGAAAACAGTGCTCAGAGGGAGGCCGAGCAGCCACCACCAGGAGAGGCAGGAAGGTACAGCAGGTGCTCCTAGTCAGTCTCTGCACACTCACCCCAGAGACAAACGCAAAACAGGCAGCTTCTTGGAAGCTGTCCTTGAGGAGACTGAAAAAAACCAAAACATTTGGTCTTCCGCAGGTAATGATTTCACCCAGACATGAACACTCTGTATATTCACATTTGCTTCCTTCTGCTGCACTGTGGTAAGTTGAAAGAAAAAGGTTGTAATGTGAGGACAAACAGGCTAGCGGTAGAGTCTCAGGCCCATGACTTACCAGGTAAGCTGTCCACCGAGGCCACTGCCTATTTCATTTTCTCTTTAGGCCTGGGTTGTGTTGCTTTCTTAATCATTTTCAGTGTACTGGAATTGTACATTTCCCCGAACAAGGTAAAATAGCGTACCTTAGGCATTGAAAGAAGCCCTCTCAAAGGTTAACAGGTAACTGTTATGGGCTGGCGTCTGTTCCTCACTCCTCCACCTTTGTGATAGGTGTCATTTTTGTTCACCGCTGAACTAGCAAATGTTGACTCTGAATGTGCAAGGGCTTGCTGTGTTACAAAGTCATGTTTTAACTTAATAGTAGAGTTAAGGAAGCCTGTTACAAAAACCAAACCAAAGCAAACCAAATCTTTGATAACTTTCAAGGTTCTAATACAAAATTACAAAGACTCAAAACTTTGAAAAAAACACAAATATTTTTGTATAAGTAATTTTTTTTGAGACGTGGCCATATGTAATCTAAGCTAGCTTCACGCTCATTGCATGTTAAGGATAATCTTGAACTCTTTGTTTAATCTTTAAAATTCTATCTTTTACCCATCTATCTATCATCTATCTATCTATCTATCTATCTATCTATCTATCTATCTATCTATCTATCTATCCATCCATCCATCTATATCTATCTATCATCATCATCCTCTTTCTCGTCATCATCGTCTATTTGTGCATGTGCACCTGTGCCATGGCAAGTGTATGGAGGTCAGAGGACCACTTGT